AAGTTAGTTTGTACTTCCATTTGTAGAATATATTGTCACTGTTTTAAGTTAGTTTGTACTCCATGTGTAGTATATATTGTCACTGTTTTAAGTTAGTTTGTAGTCCATTTGTAGAATATATTTTCACTGTTTTAAGTTAGTTCGTACTCCATTTGTAGAATATATTGTCACTGTTTTAAGTTAGTTTGTACTCCATTTGTAGAATATATTGTCACTGTTTTAAGTTAGTTCGTACTCCATTTGTAAATGTTAGTACAGATGCGAAAGTTACCTCCAGAACAGTAAGATACATATTAGCACGAATCTCTAAATTTGGTTATTAGATATATGTAAAACTAAAACAAAATCTTTTACCTGAGCTATCGGCATAGCACTGTTACATTGATAATCTCCAAACTTCTCCTGGTTACTAGGCAACACTGGAACCGGAGGATCTTCAATTTCAGGAAAAGCCTCTTTTACAGCTTGCCTGAAGATTCCAAGAATTAGCTCCCTAGGACTATTCATGAATTCTCCAGCTCTTGACTCCTCTTCTTCGAGACTCTACAAATGAGTATATTTCTAATTAAACAAGATTATAATGAACAAACGCTAATCTCACGAATCTATATATATACTACTGAAACTCTGAGATTGTTTGTTTGTTTGCTTGTCTGTAATTAAATACAGCAAAAAACGGTTCACAATACTGCAATATTTGTAATGAAATGAGAATAGAAACAGAATAAAACAAGTTTTGTTAAAATTGGGCCACGGGTTACCAAGTTAGCACCGTTTTTTGGGTGACTTTTATGAAAATTACTAGCATGAGTAATTTTACATCACACTACCATTCGCGCTCTTTACGAAACTTCTTCGTTCAAATCTATTTCCCTGTCAATGTTCCTGATCAACAATCAAATATCTTTTCTTGAATTATGAATAACACGAATGGATTGAAATATTCAAGTAACTTATCTCAAAATAAACCTTCATTTTGGTGCAATATTCAAATTAGCTTGAATTCTTCATAACCCCTGAATAGTGGGTCACAGGTGGTCCAGTATTTCCTAATATTAGTTACAAACAAAATTTTTCAGACAAATAACCGGGAAGTTGGAACAAATGATAGCTTAACAGTCACATAGACATCACGACCTTCAAACAAAGAAGTCATTAAAGTCGTTCATTAATCTGTGTATGTCTTCCTGGATTATGTGCAACAAAATGAAAATAAATTTGGCATGTCTTAGAAAAAATCTTTATTTCTTTATTAAAAAACAAATATATTTCACAGATCTGTACCTGTTACCATATGTACACCTCTGTCTTATTCCTGGTTCTTTATCACAAACCTGTCGATTTAACATGGTAAAGTCTGTAACTGTTAGCTGAGATTCTTCTTTTGTTTTCTAAACATTGTGATGTTAAGCTTTCAAAACTTTGATCTGATCTACATCAATGCAATCTGTAGCATATTAAACCATTTACATCAAAATGTGAGAAAATATAGACTGAAAAGTCTATTTCTTGAACTATATAAACTTTGAGATCACAAGTTTATTCTTCCGAGTCCTTTTGAATTAAATTGTCTAAAATAAATACAAAAAGTTATTCAGTTTTGTTTCAAATCAATTAAAAAAAAATGTATTATTACATCCAAAGTTATTTCCAAAATTTAACCATCTTTTCATTGCACAAAGCACAAATAACACTTTCTTTTCACACTGGTAAGCCTTTTAAATAATAAAAACAATACTGCTTCAACTGTTTAACTAAACAGTGATAGGAATTTTCACTTTTCATCTTCTAAACATACTTCAATATAACTGTCTAGATGAAATCTTAAAATAAAAGACAATAAGGCAAAATTTCATTTAAAAAATCTTGGTTTAATAGATTCCTTTAAAAGAAAACAAAATTTGAGATACAAATTTATGAGGTCAGTTGGCAACCCTTTTGACACTATGCAGTTAAACATTTACAAAACAAAAAAGTCCTTCAAGTTTTTCACTTTATCTAATACATTCAAAACTTAATATTTTAATAATAAAACAAACCACTAGGCAAGCAAATATTTCAATGAAAACCTGATACATCAAAAAAATGTCTATAAATGGTTTGTCAAAAATCAAAACCAGTATGAACAATTTATCACAACATTCTTGGTTAACTTTATAAACAGATAAATTCATTATGTATGCTTCTAAATTAACATTATACCTGGCACTCTTACCCTCCAGATCATGTAAATCTTGTAACTAGACACCTCTGATCAAAAACCCTTAAATTCTCTGACCCAGGGCTATGAAATTGGCAACAAATCAGCTTTTTCAATTTACACAATGATAGTAATCACTAGCCAGTTACCAAATCTCCCCCTATCATGAAGGTAACTACAAAAGTGCCAAAATGTCAACTTTCCAAGCACATCAAAAATGAATTTTTTACCTTCTTCAAAATTTCAATTCGATATCTCAGCTTCATATTTTCAACACGAAGTTTTTCCAGTTCTGGTGAACAGTCCACATCACTCGTGCAAGTGATTCCATTTTTGAACTTTTTCAGTTCTTCTAATTCTGATGTTAAGAGTTGTATTTCTTCTTCCTTTTCACATAAAAAATAAACACATTTCTATAAAATCAACTGAAAAGTAAACTACATAAGAAAATGAGTAATATCTAAAACTTGGTCTCTTACAAATTGTTTAGGAAAAGTTTAGAATCATATGAAGAATTAAACAGATTTTTTACCATGAAGTTGTAACCTCAAGAGAAAACTGAAATGTCAACAAAATTTTTATGACTATCAATCAACAAACATGTACATAAAACTGCAGTCTTTTTTCTTATGACAACCATTTTTATATAATTCCAATAATGTGATCAAAAACACTTTGATACTGGTAATTTTATTCTTCTCACGTTAGTTGTACTACTGGAGATACAAGTTTTTTATATATGGATATTAATCTTTATGCATCCTTTTTTATTTTTAAGTATCATTCTTTTCTACATTCCTACAACTATCATAACACTTTTTCAGTACAGATCGGGAAAGAGGCTGAAAAATGTGTCCAGTTACAGCCTTCAAACAAGAACATCTACTTGATGCATTACGACATGGCTAAAGAGCAAGTGACCAAACACTCTGAGGAGAATATAGTAAGTTAAAGCAGAACTAAATTTAACCACAGATTTCAGTTTATAGAGAAGACACAACACACAAGTATTTTTTCAACATTATAGTTTTAAATAGTTTTCACAAAAATAAGGCAAATAAGAGGTGAACTGCATTTGACCATAGAGTTCAGAGAAGATCCAATTTTTTATTTATTAAATATTACATTTCTAAATGCCAAAATCCAGCAAGGCAATGAAACCAGTAGATCTAATATCAATGATAAAAATCACAACATCTTTTTATATTGATACCTCTAATTTGAATAAAAAAATCACTAATAATCTACAAAAAATGTCAATAATAAAACATCTCCAGTCTAGTGTGGTTAATAATAATAACTTTTGATTAGATCAAGCTATATACTTTGAGTGAATCTAAAAATCAAACTAGCCATCAGTATAACTGATTGAATATACATTCAAGTAAAAAACTGATGCCCTGTAAGAATTCATTTAATGTGAAGCAGTGGTAGTCTTTGTGTTTACTAATACAGAGAAGTAACTTACCAGAATAACCTTGAAATTGTTGATGTTTTTTAATTTTTATCAATAGAAAGACTAATATAAAGATCACCGAAATCAAATGTTTATACTGTTGTAGCTTCAAAACCCTTAATTCTCTCTTTACAGACGATGGAATTATCAATGAATATACACAGATTAATACTGGTTTTCTCAATGATAGCATTACAGCAAACCAAGAATGAACAGTCTTTGTTGTAAAACACTAATGACAGGGGTCTCTAGAACTACAGCAAACCAAGAATGAACAGTCTCCAAGTGCTAATTAGTTAGTTCTCTCTCTTATATTATAAAACTGGTAGGGTTTAAGCTTCTATACATGTGTATACTAGTAGTGCAGTCTTTCAGCAATAACAATAAAATTATGCATATTACAAATACACAGATCTTCCTTACACACAGACAAACACAGAGTAAATCTATTACATTAGAAAAAAGTATCTTTATATATATAGCTCACAGAATGAATATGTAATTAATTTTCATTACATAGCCACAAACAAATCAAAGGCTGAAAACAGTATTTCTTTAGACTGGTGTCCTAGTTGATACTAGTGGAACTATTAACTTAACAATAAATCAACTTGCTTTTAAATTCATACAAATTTTAATCTAAATTTCGAAGCATTATTTTAGTAGTAACATATTTAAATACCAAACTGGCTAATTATTTTTGCATCACAGTTATTAGACGTTACAATTCATAATATTTTGCAACTGACGATCACATTATTATTAACATAGACGTTTAATAATGTGAATCTAGACTATATACATAACTAACATATGCACTCCGTAATTCTGACTGTTATTAGTAATAATACTAAGTGTTAGGGCTAAACTATTAAACGAGACTACATTACTAGCACTACCAAAGGCCTACAAGAACTACTACAGAAATACAAAACATCGACTTTGATACAATTAGTAATCTAAGGAATAGACATTTAATTATTTATATATTAGTATTGCAGTATATAAATTGTTGTACTTTCGTAGTTCACGTGGTGTAAACTCTAACAGACTGACCGTGAGAGGGATGATAACAACCAACTTGCCAGTTACGATGCAAGTCTTTACAGAAATTATTTCATATCATTGTTATGTATAAACATTAGTGTAAATAATATCAATAAAACCAAGTATCAGATTCATACCGCTTTCTCTGCTTTTGTAGTGTATATTTTAATTGCAGTTTCGACATCCATTACTATCCTGCACGTGTACAACAACCGTATTAATGAAATGAAAAGGGACCAATCTTTAATTTGTGCATACAAATCTTACTTTCTTGATTTGTTAAAAATATATTAGTTTGTAAAAATATGTATATATATATTAAAGTCTTACACAATATGTAAGAATTTGGTTTGAACTGGATACAAAAGACGTATCCTTATAAGCCCTTTAAGATTTATATTTGTGTTTCTCTAATACTTGTTCAATATATTTAATATACTCTTCGAAATGTTATTAGTGGTTGTAATAGGATTGAGCGATTCGCTCAATCAGTACCAACATACAACATTCAACGCACCAGTAATTTATTATACACTTTTTGACTGAAAACCATATGTAGCCATTAAAGAATGACGTGATTAAAATTATTATCGCGTTTACTATAATGTAATATTTCACATATTACCAAGTGAATACTACAGCGAAATTAGAAACACAAAATTCACAGAAAAACTACATTTCTTAGCTAATTATTTCAAATCCTCCTGAGCAGTAGTTCTTAAGATAACTAATTAACGAAAACAAACAGTAAAAACTACATAACAATGAAATAAACATGTTGAAGTTATTCTCTCTCTTCTTTTTTTTCAGTATTATGGTGTTTTATTTGGTGCAATAAGAGAAACTGAAAATGAGATGTCGACACTGTAACACCAGGGTAACGTTTTGTAACGTTATACGAGGTTTAGAATTCTCTAAAGTCTAGCTGTAAGTAATAATAATACATAGAGGCGAAGGAGTTTTATTATTGTTTAAAATTAATAGACCTCAAAAATAGTTAATCGAAGTGCTGTTTCTGTTTTAATGGGTTCAGCTTCGGGTATTGATACTGGTTGTGTTTCTCGCCGACTTGAAGTAGTAAGTTCTGACAGTAACACTAACAGTCTTAAGTTCTAACTTCGACTGTTCGAGTTATGTAGAGTTTAGACTTAGTCTAACTCTAAGTTAGTGTAAAAGTAAAACAAAACATTTACTGAAATGTTTGTACAATTTACCATTCATCAGTTTTATTGACGAGATTGTATTTTTACACCATATTTCTAATGCCTGGTGACACTTGTCATCAAGTTGCGTCTATACTGTTTTAATTATTTTTAACATGTTTGACTAAAACACGCTTTGATTTGTTTGAAACTTAAATTAATTGTACTTGTAAGTTGTAGCAATGAGTTATTTTGTAACTGAGAGTGAGAAGGAGACGAGTGAGGCTGAGAGTATGATGAGTTTAAACTTTAGTACTAATACTATTACTTGTATTAGGAATTATCAAGAAGTGATGAAATTAAATCAACATACTCTATTTAAGGGTGTGTTACTGTTATAGTTATTTAAAATTAATATTTTGTTGTATCCATATGTTGACACCATGATACTGAAATATTGTACTGTAACTTCTCTCAAAGGAGATCTCCTTTGAAGGGTTTAGAGTGAATGTATGAAAAATAGCATACAGGTCAATGGCAGGTCAATAGCCCAATGGCAGTATTATTTTAGTGGGAAAACTCATAACATGTACCTATTTAAAGTTGAATATTAAAAGAAATTTCTGTAAAACATTTAAAAACTAGTTTCACAAGGTAAAGTATAAATAGAAATTCACAGTTAGCCTTTATTCAGATTAGGAATTTTATCCATGTCTTAAAATGCTTCTTAAAGTATTTATGTTTAAATCTAGTGATTTATTTAAAGAATAGATGCAATATTTGTGTTCTATGTAGTAACAATTACCATATTTTTCTGTGTATAAGATGCACTTTTTTACCCTAAAATTTGATGTCAAAATCTGCTTGCATCCTATACACCAAAGGTATGAATAATATATATA